AAAAAAAAAAAAAAAAAAAAAAAAAAAGATTTTTCTTTTTTTTTAATAGTATTATTTTATAATTACTCAAAGTTTATAGCTTTTTATGACTTAATGTAGTAACAATTAATAATAAAGAATTTTTACTATAAAAATTAATAGATAACGAAATGCGGGATTTTGTAGACCATACCGTATTAACTAAGGATTAAATTAACAATAAAAGCACAAAAATATAATTTTTATTAAAATTAAATTATTTTATTAAATCATATTATCAGTAAATTATATTACTTTGTTAATTATAACATATAATTATAACAATATGTAAACAAAATGTAAGATGTTTATATTGATTGATGAAGTGGTGTCGTGTTTAAAGCAACAGATTCATAATCGAGAGATGCCTCGCGGATTCAAGTTCGAGTCCCACCTGTGTCAGTGATAATTTTTAAATGTGATGTAACATTGGAATCAAGTAATCTAAAATTTTCAAGTGATATCAGCAAACTCTATGACATTTACGAATAGTTTCTGTTAGAAAATTGAACCGAATAAGGACAGTAAAAATAATGTCTAGAGTAGGTGCATTTTTTAATATTCCAAGGGCGTCCAAAATAGGTAAAAAAAAAACGGACATCCTGTGAACGTCCATCGGAAGTCTGTTGGGCTTTATTTGGACGTCTATTGGACGTCCCAATTTCCAAACATGAACGTCCACTGGACGTCTATATGATGTCCATATGCTATCTGGGTATAAGCGCGTCGTCAAAAGTTGACCGTAAGAGAAAGAAGCGCGCTTGATTTGCCTCTAATTTGCATATTTAACCTCATTTCCTCGAGCTTTCAAGTTGTATGACTATTTTTTTAGTACTATGTAAGGTTTGCTTGACCATATAGAACCCGAATTTTAGGTTCCACTTGTAGGCAAAAAATTGTGCTTTTTTGACATTCTCTTTTGATATATTAATTATTAAAAATGGGTAAATAAGTATGCTTAATGCGATGGAACGAGTTTTTTTATAGTTGTCAAAAATAGAATTTAATCTAAAATATCTAAATAATTTGATAATTTTTTGACAACGATCGATGCTAGATAGTATTATAATATACACCCTTACTATCTAGTATTACGTGCCGCCCGCTATTGCCAAGAGATTATCAACTATTTAGACGTCTTTTATGAGATTCCATTTTGAACGAACCAAAAAGTCCTATCATATTATGCAATCTCTCTCTCTCTCTCTCTCTCTCTCTCTCTCTCTCTCTCTCTCTCT